TTTTAAGAGTAATAAAATAAAGACCAAAACTCTTATTTATACACTACAGTTTTTTTTATGGTCAACATCTTAAATTAATTTTTTTCAATTCAACACCTTTTACCATTTAACACGTGAAAAATCCAATACTAACGGAGAAGTCGCATGACTCGCACATGCCTGTTACCCTTCGTTTCTTTTTTGCTTACATGGTGTTACTTTGATGAGGTGGTAACAGTTTATTCTCACGTGGCACTTTTTTTTCCTTTTCTTTAATGACATGGCTAATGGGTTCCACCCATAACTAAACAATTTTTTTATTTCCTCTCTCTCTTCAGTGCAATTGCACATTGCCAAATTTTTAATTTCACATAGCAATGAACAAATTCAAATTAAATTTGAAATTTACAAACTTAAATCAGATGATAATTACAGATACCCATGATATATAAACATAATCCCTGAGCCAGAGATCTCATCCCTACACCATCGTTGCAACCCAAAATTTGCCATCTTCAATTCTTCTTATCATTAAAATAAAAGCCAAGCTTTTTTTCATCTTATGCGACTCCATCCATTAAATTGATTGAATGTCTAGATGACCAAACAAATTAAAAAGGCAATTGGATCTCAGTCCTCTGATTAGTTAAAAAGCAAAACAAGAAAAAGGACAAGGAACACCACAAAATTGTAGTATTTTATTTTGCTAGAAAAATTTAAGTACAAATCTTTTAGATCTGATGTTGAGTCCCAATACCAAAACTTTATTTAAATCAACTTATATTTGTCAAAGCCGCAAGGTTAGACGGTCGATGCTTGCCGGTTGAGAAGATCAATTAACCCATTTCGGCGTTAATTCCTATTAGCGCGATTATTTAGCCATTGTGGGCTTTGAAAGCTAGAGACGAGCACTAAATTGCATCATCTTTATCTTTCTTGTTAAGGAAGCATGCACATCCTGCCATGTGTCATGTCATCCGCTCGATGATCTGTTTGTGGACAACAGAGGTGATCTGACGTGTGATCCTTGATGCCTTTATGGGTTTCAACTTTCGAATATGTTTTCACTGGGAATTGTACATTGTTGACAATTCGAGATTGGGCCAAGGGGTGGGTCTTGAAAGAGACATGTGCTAACTACCCGCATCAAAATCCAGATAATGTTCAGTCAGCATTGAGAAAAGTAGATCTCCACTAAGCGGTTCGATGGTCACGCACCTCATTGAGGTCGGTGAATTGTTCACTTGATTTGTAAATCGAATTCCTAGTTGCTAATATTTAACAATACCAACTTACTAATCATTGATATTATAAAAAAAAAAAAAAAAGCATTGAGAAAGGCCAATGCTTTATGTCATTATGATACCAATCAAATTGAAGATTGGCACTCACAATCACAATCACAATTCCAAGCAGCTACAAAAAGATCATAGTGAGGTCAACAATCAAACAGGACATTCTAATGATTTAAACCAATCAAGCAAAAAGGGGTTGTAAATCGTGCGAGTGATCCATGTCGGATGACAATCCAACCCGTTCAACCACGGCCTACCATGACTCACCACCTGAGTTTTGATGGCTGCCCAATCGTTTTGGG